GCGGGCTTTCTTTTCGCGTATCGGAAGATTTAAATCCGTTTAGAAATTTTCCCGTGAATGTAAACTCACATGACCGATGCGTAGTCTCCTGGAAACACCGAGTACGGGGGGTGCCCCCCCCCCCGTACTCGGTGTTTCCAGAAGACTATGCATCGGTCATGGCCCGTACCCAAATCCTGTTTTCTGGTTGTCTAAAAAACGTTTCTTCAGAATCGCAGATGGCTCGAAGCAGTGATGAAGGATCTGGTGAAAGAAAGCGATCCATCGCGGCAGATGGATGCAATCTTGAAAAGTTTGCACTCCTATGCATCAAGCCCAGCTGATCTCAATGAAAATGATATCGGAAAAATTGAGGTTGCGCATAACTAGTCTATATTTTTAAGGCTTCAATACTACATATCTCTTCCAGGAACTTGACGGATCATTTAGAAGATATCCTTGGCTATGCTGAAATCACGAACCAATTCGTGGCCAAAGGAGGTCTACTGGTCATCGAGGCTTTCCTGGTGGGTAGTGTATCCGTGTTGTTGTTTTCTTTGTTTTTTTCTTGTTCCTTATTCTCAAAGCGTAGCCGTATCGCACCCTAAATGTTACGCAGATATTCCTCTGAAGAATGAGACTTCTTATTTCATTGGCAGATTGACTTACTAGACGGCAGCTTTCAATATAATTGGGGCATGGGACCCGATATTAAATGTTTTGTGACGTCTAGTACGATTGCCATGTGGTGTTTAGCAGTCGCACTCGACGTCACAATTTGGGTGGTTTTCAAATAAGGTCCTCATTAATATCGAATGAAATCAAGTAACCATTTTAAACTAGTGACCGATGTCCGGTGCTTATTCGCCAAATAGCCATAGCGCGTATCGTTTTCGAGTGTTTAGAGGGAATCTCAGGTTTCGGTAGAGGTGTAGACTAGGAAAAATAGTATAGAATCCGAGGAGGGTAATCTAGAAATAGACGACGGAAATATTGTGCTACAGGACGAAGCCCGCTTCCTCATCTCGCCTTTCTAGACGGCTAGAAAAGTAGCTATAGTATATCTCGTTACTTGTAGCAGAGTGTGTGCTTCATCTAGGTTACTGCTAACAGGGCATACATATCCTGCCGTTGGGAAAAGTTCAAATAAGACCCCCGCCTCTCAGAATTTTTTTACGTTACGGCCCTCTCCTGTATCCCTCATGCTACCTACCATCTTCCCACATACTCCCTATCTTTCTACCAGTTTTCCCCTCAAAAAAACCACCTCCGAGCGAGGGTCATTGTTTTGGAAGTGTTGAGACGGAATCTCAGGTTCCGGTAGAGATGAAGAATAGAAAAAAGAAATTGTATAGAATCCAAGGAGGTAACCCATAAATAGACGTCGGAAATAAAGTTCTCCAACGAAGCTCGCTTTCTGCTCTCCTTTCCAGATGGTTAGAAAAGTAGCTATCGCGTTACTATAGCAGAGTGTATGCTTCATCTACGTGGCAGGACGGGGGCGGGGGGTGGGTACAAAACGGGGGCGGGGGGCGTGGGTACAAAACGCAGTAAGCGAGAAGAATCGAGAAAACTCAGCAACCGAAAGCTATTTTCTTAATAACACCACGCTGAGGATTCCCAGCGTACGACCGCACTGATTGCAATTCGACAAGGGATGGTTTTAAGCTGCTTACTAGTAGGCTTAATGTTAGGCCTTTGAAGCTGCTGCGAAATTTAATTTTTTTTCTCTTTTTTTTGGCTAGATAAACGTTTCTTTAATCTTGAGGATGTTTCTATCATCGTTTTTGCTTCAGACTCAGCGTCATCACTTATCATTACAATGTCGTTTCGCTGAGTTTGTACTCAGCCTCACTGAAAATAATCCTTCCACACAATCGTTGTTTGCGAGAGAAGGCTTACTCAGTAAAATGTTAAAGTTGCTAGAAGATGACACATACAGCGAGGTTGGTACACTGATCGTCTGTCTTCTCGAGTCCAGTAGAACTGGTGTGATCGTGCCTGTTCCTATTTATTTCAGCAATTTCTCTTCAAGCTTCTTAGCTCAATATCCGGCTCAGTTCGATCTCATATTGAGTCATTCGAGTAAGTAAATCATCATGTTATAGTGTTGCATGTGAAATTTTGATTTTTCGAATTATTTCAAGTAATATATTTGTACGTGTTGTTCGGTCTATGTGGCCCTCAGGCGCTCCACTTGTCACTACACCACCAGAGGCGGAAGACGTGACAAGTGGCGCGCTTACCTCCCGCGCGGTCCTTACCTCAAATCCCGGGTGGACTTCCGTCTAGTCCAATCAAGCCTTCTACCTCCGGGGACGGTAAAGTGGTACCAAGCTTGCCTAGGAGGATAAGAACACTGACTTGTACATCGGCTGGCCACCGCAATTGTATAGCCACATCGCATTCAGTAAGCCACTACGATTTTGAATGGAAGTAGAATGCGTGCTACATCTCACAAAGGGATTGATTAACGTCGGAGGCCTTATTCTCTATAGATTTTGTGGCCCCTCTCTGATATTGCTATTAGGTATTGAAAAAAAGCGAGTTTCTTCAAGCGGGTACGCGACAACAACCGGTGGATAAACGAGTAACTCGAACGATGTGCTACAGTCTTGTCGCTTGCAGAAAGCGTAAAAGAAGGAAAAACTGACTGACTCTGCGCTGGTCCCATCTCCCTTGACATGCCCCATCATTCGACGCGAGCGAGATTATACGCGATTCATCTTCGACTAATGTCCTCAGCTGTTCGTCAGTACTGTCCTGTGCTCACTAGACATCGCTTTCAGTTGAGCCATGTGCCCTCAATATTGCCCTTCTCTTGCATTTATTATTTTTTATTCACTTTTATTTTCAGCACTTTCTGTGAGAACGGTGGCCCGCGAATACTCTCAGATATAGTACACAAAGCAAAAAGTGGGAAATTGGCAGGAAAGTCAGCCCGTGTGATGACGAGTATAGCTTATACACTAGAAGATTCACGTACGTTTGTTATTTCTTACAGAAGTAAAGGTGATTCGTTTGAAATTCTTCACGACAAACTAGTTCGCATTTTGAGTTAACTCATGTAAGTTCTCTAACTGAATTTAACCGTTTTCAGCTGCTCATGCAAAGAAATTAACTGCAGAAATATTATCCAATTTCCTATATGTTCTTCAACATTTTCCGTCTGATTGTGTGGGTGAACTAGAGTACATAGGGTAAGTCAAGATAAATTCTTTCTCTTTCGCCAACTCTATTTCTTTTACGGATGGCTTTTGTTACTTCATCGGGTGTGGTAGAGACGATTTCATCGCTGTAGAGCCTACAGCAGGGTTGGTGATGGTACTGTTTGCCGATAAGGAGGTTGTACTCGGTTTACGCAAGCTTTCTTCTCATGAGAAATGGTTTTTCCATTTCACGGCTCTCTGCACACTGCTGCTCCTCCCTCCATCTTTCCACAAGTGTTTTTGAGGTTTTTGTAGTGAGGTTCGTGTTGAGGGTAATCTTCAACATTCCCATGACTTGTGTGGTAGTATACCACGGGCTTTCCTGCTCATTCAGCTTTTGCTGAGGAGGATAAAACATGAAGTCTTCGCCACTTGATCAATCCCTTCTTGGGATGCGGCACGCATTCTACTTCCATTAAAATCGTAGTGGCTTATTGAATGCGATGCGGTCCTATTCAATCACTTGCGGGGCCAGCTGATATACAAGTCGATGTTCATATTAAGCAAGACGAATCTGGAACTACCTCGGTGGGTAGGAGGCTTGGTTGGCTTGGGAAATAGCTGATCCGGAGTTTGATCGTGTCTGTGTCACTCTGCGCTATACTACCTGAACTTGCCTACCCTGAAGAGAAACTGGAGTTAAATCCCGCGTAGACTGTTCAGTTCGACGAATGGGCTTTCTATACATTCAATTCTATGACCATATTCATTGAGCTGGTGTTCAGCTTTGGATAATCTGAATGGTAGTGTTGCTGCTGTTCTTCATACTTGTAAGGCTCTAATTCTGCGATGAAACTTATCAGATAGGCAAGGTAGTAGAAAAAAACCACAACACAGT